CCTGAGAGGGGTCATTACAGCCAAACATGGGGAGCTTCCACATGGTCCAGTACCTCCCGTCGTAGTAGGTGCGCCATGACCCGTTGGTGCGGGTGGTGTCACCAGCCTGGTCGAACTCGATGGTGTGGATCCAGCCGTTGCTGATCAGGTACTGGATCTGCTTGGCAATCCTCGTGTCACTCAGAGGAGGGAGGTAGGACATCGTCTCAAACTTCTTGTTGTTGTAGGGGTTCCACACCTTTATGCACTCCACGCGGGTGCTGTTGGAGACGGTCTTGGAGAACCACTCTCTGGGTTGGGCAACCTGCAGAGAGTTGGATGCGCTCTTGAGGCCATTCAAGGCAAAGAAATTGCTTTGAGCCTTGCTGCTGGAGGTAGCAACAGCGCCAGAGGCAACCGGGGCGCAAGAAATAGCTGCCACAACAGCAGACTGAGCAAGTGCCGCCATCTTGAAAGCTTAGAAGTGACTAGCACGAACGACGACGGCTTGAAGCTCGAGCGAATGTACTGCACAGGAGATACTATAGGAAAACTGAACTCCTTAGAGCTTCGCAGCTACTCATGAAGATGCACACCCGCTATGGTCTCATATTCCAGGACACCCACGGCCTGCTGCTCGAGGTGATCACTGTGTACACAGTGACTGGCCTCTATAACACCATGGACTTTTCATAATTAAAAAAAACAAACAAAAAAAAACGGACTGAAGTTGAGTTCAGGGACTCAGTTGTTGGCCTCAGTGCTTGTGCTTCAGTGTGACTTGCTGCGACATTGTGTAGGGAACCAAGATTGCGACTTTGCGACTTTGCCATTTTGTGTCCATGTCCGTCGAGTCGTGTCGAGTCCGTGTCGAGTTGAGTGTGTGTGTGTGTGTGTGCTCTTCCCTGACCTCGCTGCCTTGCCTCGGCCCCGTCACACTGGTATCGGAGTCGCTTCGGTCCTCCCTCCCACCCTGATTCAGTGCCGTCGCCGTCCACCTCGTCGTCGTCCGTGCCACGTCATCGCCGTCGCTGCCACGTCATCATGGTCGCCGTTATTTGCCACGCCATCGACATCGTGGTTACCTCGTCACCATTATCGTCGTCGCCGTCGTCGCTGCCACATCATGGTCAGCATTCCCGTGTACCCACTGCCACGTCATCGTCACCACTGCGGCTGCCATCGATGACGCGCATGTAAGCCCACAACAAACTTTTTTTTTTTTTTTTCCTTCTCCCCCTCATATCTTCTCCCTCCTTATCATAGTCGTCTTCATCGTTTCTTCTTCCTATTCATCCCGCTCTCGCTTCCCCCACCTTCTTCCGCTTTCCCCACCTCCCTCGCCCCATCCCGACTCCCCCCTCCGAACCCGACTTCCCCCTCCCCCCCCAATCTCGACCCTTTTTCCCTACACGCCCTTGTCCCCCCGCATGATCTCCCGCGCGCCCCCCCGTCGCTCCCCTTC